CTTGCATGTGGTGGAACCTGATGTGGAAAGAGCTCATGAGTGGCCAGCTCCAGGATACAAACCTGTTTATAAAAATAGAGGAAAGAGACAAACACGTCAAGTGGTACCCTGGCTGCTTCTAAAGGGGGAAACTGACTACCTGGTGCCTGGAATGCAAGAAATCCCACCATGTCCCTTCTGCATCTTTTCATTACTTATAGTCATCATGTCCTATGCATTCCGACACACCTAGACATACATTTTTTTCCTCAAAAATAATTTTTGAAACAGCTGTTATGAGAAAATATTTTTCTTCTAAACACTCACAAATGTTCAATTCTGTGGCATTAAACACATTCCCAGGGCTGTGAACCTGTCACCACCATCTATGTCCAAGTGTTTCATCAATGCCACCACAAGCTCTGTTATCATTTCAACAATAAATCTTTAATCCTCCTCACTCTGGTCTGCAGGAGCCTCTCTTCTACTTTGAATGTGCATATTCCAGGTACTTCAAATACACAGACTCTACAATATTTGTCTTCCTGTGGCTGGCTTACACCATTCTTCCATGTGTATTTTTTTTTTCTCCAAACACCTGCCAGTTAGATAAATAAAGTTATGAAAGTCTTCGGTTTCCTTAGGGACAGAGAGGACATATCTCTGTGAAACATGTGGACGGGTCTCGGATCAGCACATGTGTCTGATGTTTCCTAGAAACACCAGTGTAACATGTGAAAGGCTCAGCAGAGGCCCGGGATTCGGCTCACTGGTACAGCACCAGCTTAGCATGAGCAAGGCCCTTGGTTGGATCCTCAGCACTGAAAAGAAAGTTTAGTGAGTCATGCTGCAGGTGTGTTTCTGCAGTCCCATCTTTGGGGAGTTAGAAACCATCTCGTGGTGAGTTCAAGGCCAGTGTAGGCTACCTACAAAAATATGTCTTTTCTATGGGGTATGTTGCCATATGCTACTATACCTATCTGCAATCAAATCTTTATCTAGAGCTTCCAGGGACCTTTAGAGGGTTCAGGACTTCTTTTTGGATTTGTGTGCAAATTGTGGGTGGTTTCTTTCTGGTGTCTTTTTTTTTTTTTTTTTTTTGCATCCAAGATTTTCAATCTCATCTGAAGACACTAGATAGGATAATTAATGCTTCCTTTTCCTGTGAAACATATTCAAAATCCCTTTAAGGTTTGTCTGCTTGGCTTGTTTAAATGTGTGATTGATGAACCCACACCAAAGATAATTCACCAGAAATAGCATTTACCAAAAAAAGAAAGAGAGAAAAAAAAAATCAGCAGATTAAAAAAATTCCTGGAATTGACATATTTAATGAAAATGACATTGTTCATTTAATTTGGTGGGTCACAGGGAAGAACATACCACCAGGATATATGAATATCAGGTTACTGTGTGAAGACATGAAGTTTTCTCTATTTTATAAATACCGAGACAGCAGTGAAGGAAATCATGTTCCCCTTGCCCCCACCCCGTGGACCTCCTGTCCTATCAGTAAGATCTCCATCATAGATGGCTGAAGACAGCATCCTCAGCAGAGTGGCTCTGTGGAGCTGGACAGACAGTGTCTGGAGACAGCGCTCTTAGGTGGGGTGTATGGAGAACTCCTCTCTGGCAGGGGCAATGGTGGCCTGAATCTGTGGAACTTCTGCTTAGTTGCTTCCTCTGTGATTTCGTTTGTTTGAGATTGGGTCTTATCATGAACCCCAGCCTGAGCTGGAGCTCTGCATCCTCCTGCCTCAGTGCCTCCAGTCCGGAGATGTCAGGCACACACAGCACCTCACGTTCAAGCAGAATTTACAAGGGCGTGAATGAGCCACACCTGCAAGGAGTAGAGAGACAGGGTTCCTGCTGACAGAGAGGGTGGAGGGAGTGTGCACAGGCGACGGGGGAGACACTGAGTCCTGTGGGGGTGTTCAGGTGACCTGGCTTTTGAATCCCTTTCCCCCTTTAATTTTATTTCTACTTATTTGTGTGCGCGTGTATGCATGCATGTGCCCGTGCACACTCCGTGCTATATATGTGGACGCTAGAGGACAAGTTTTGAGAACCAGTTGTCTCCTTCCACTGTGGGTCCCAGGGATTAAATTTGAGTGATTAGGCTCTCACAGTGACTTAGTTACTTTACCATTGTCATGACAAACACAAAGGCAATTTATAAGGGAAAGTATTTAATCTGAAGGCTCACGGTTCCAGATCATCATGGCGGCAAGCACAGCAGCAGACAGGCAGGCGTGGTTCCCGCAGGCTGGGAGCTCACATCAGATCCATAAGCACAAGGCAGAGAGAGAGCTAACAGGCAACGATGTGGCTGTTGAAAGCACAAAGACAGGTCCCAGTGATAGGCTTCCTCCATCAAGGCCACACCTCTGAATCCTTCCCAAACAGTTCCACCAACATTTGAAACAAACATTCAAATATATGAACCTATAGGGGTCACATCATTCTCATTTGAACCACCCCACGCAGCAAGCCACCTCATTGGCCCACAAGGCTTTGCATCCCCATTACTCTTTTTAGCAGCCATGTGCAACAGCAGCCCCAAATGATTTCTCACTCCAAAAATCATCTGAGGCCACATGCTGACACTCAGTGCATATGTATATATGCACAAGATTAGTGAACATTAAAATATTTGCATATAGCATGAGTACAAAATGAACAACTACATTTATTTATTTATTTATTTATTTATTCGGTCTTAATATAATGGGACAAAAAATGAAAGTAGCTGTGGCTTCTTTTCCCAAGAATTATCTAAATACAAAGAAAGGTTTGAAGAGGTGTAAATCCTACACTTCTAATATCTTGGTTGGGGTTTCTCTTACCCAATGGGTCCACATACACAGAGGAATTGTGTTGTAGGGTGGATTGCAACAGTGTTGCCTAGTAATTTCCTGCAGTGGAAAATTTATCTTGGTGGGAAGCTTGTTAGAGATACAGTATGTCCTAAAGCCAGGGGAAACATTTCATCCTACAGGGATGCTCTTTAGCCTTAGGAGATAAACACTTCAAGACTTCAGGAAGTCCCTGCAAGTAAGTGTGTGTGTGTGTATATGTGTGTGTGTGTGTGTGTGTGTGAAACACTTCAAGACTTCAGGAAGTCCCTGCAAGTAAGTGTGTGTGTGTGTGTGTGTGTGTGTGTGTGTGAAACACTTCAAGACTTCAGGAAGTCCCTGCAAGTAAGTGTGTGTGTGTGTGTGTGTGTGTGTGTGTGTGTGTGTGTGTGTGAAACACTTCAAGACTTCAGGAAGTCCCTGCAAGTAAGTGTGTGTGTGTGTGTCTGCTGAGTCATACTCTCAGACCAGCTGAGCCACCTCGAAGAGGCCAAGACCAGTGGAGTGGTGGAGAGGACTCACACCAGCCAAGCTGTGAGAAACACTCAGACCCACTGACCTGCCTGGGAAACCTGTAGGCTGTGCAGTGTGCTCCAGGTTTCCAGCTTTTGTGAACTGTCACCCATTCTGGGGTGGGCTTTGGTGATGGAGCTGTCTTTGAGCCATTTTTCCATGCCCAGACCGCCCCCCCCACCTGCATTCCTGCAAAAACCCTAATAGAGCTCAGTAGTTCAGGAAGCTGAATTTTGGAGATAGCCTTGCCTTGGTCTGTAGTTAGTTCCCTATCTAGAGTGAGTAGATGTTTGTTCATGTTTCTCCAGGGAAAGTGCCACAAGACAGTCTTCTCTTATTCTTAATTTGAATGAGATTTGGAGAAGGCCTTTAACTTTGAAATTATAACAGGATGAGAGACTTTGGACACCTGGCGATGCTGATTGTGTCTGGCATGTGAGGTAGGCTAAGCTCACTGAGGGACAGAGAACAGATTGGGATAGCCAGGAGGTCTCCCTGCCAAAGACACCAACATCCTGCTGACCTATAAATGTTACCTATTAGTGTCTGTGGCAAGAGATATGATTAAGGGCACAACCTTGACCCAGGGACATCATCCAACCATGAGTCCCTCAAAGCAGAAAACAGAAGTAGAAGGTAATTGAAGTGATGGACTGTAGAGGTGATCCTGTCGTTTTGCTGGCTTTGGAGATAGAAAGAGGCAGAATCAAGAGGCTGGAAAATTCAACAACAGATTGCACTCAGCCTGATGAGAACTGTAAAACTGTTAGACATTTTGACAGAGCTGTTAGGAAACTGTAAATCTGCATTGCTTTAGGCTACTAAGTTTGTGGTGTACTGTATAGTCACAGGAAAAAAAAAATATAGTATCTAATTTATTAGGCTTGCTTTCCAGAATGAATTTGTATTACATCCTAGTAACTGAATGATCTTTACTCAGAGTAAGCATTCAAAAAACATTAGTATCCACCTCAAAAATGAGAAGCTTAGTATAAGCATGTCTGAGGTATAGAAACCATTTTCAGAAAAGACTTCACTTCCCATCTGAGTCCCAAGACACCCACTCCAAGATGACAAGAGAACCCATAAGACAACTGTCTAAACAGGTGAATTGGGGCTGTAGCAGGCTAGATGAAAATACAGCCTCGCCTAATGTTGCCAGGTAGCTTCAGGGGTTAAGATGTTAGGAATCTATCTTCTTCTACAACATTTCACTGTTTAAATGTTGGATACAAAGCCACATTTGAATACATGTAAATAAGGACACACATGCAAATTCCAGGCAAGACTGCCCCTGTGTTGGTATTCTTGTGAATTAGTGAAAATAAGACCTGCAAGTTGCTGTTGAATGTAGGTACTTAGCCTTCACAACCCTATATCATAAAAAACATCTTTGAGGATGGAGGTATACCTCAGTGGTGAAGTACATGCATAATACGCAAGAAAACTTGAGTTTGATTGCTAGCAACACACACACACACACACACACACACACACAGAGAGAGAGAGAGAGAGAGAGAGAGAGAGAGAGAGAGAGACCCTCTCCCAAACCAAAGTATCTTTTCACATTGCTTTGGTAATTTATCTAAATTTAAGAAATTATCACTTATATGATGATTTTTATCACATGCATCAAAAAGGCAACCTTTAATTCTTCTCAAATCCAGTTTTATTAAAGTTGTTTGGCAATTTTGGTGACAGTACAAAGGGGGACACATTAAACACAGTTTCAGGTTTCTGTTTGCAGGAGGTCTGGGTACAGGTACATTTCTAAACTCACTGCTGTTCACTACCATACTGCTATATGCTTCCCTATTCTCCACAGTGTAGAAATCTGTCAAATAGGCTTGAAAAAATAAAATCCAGATTAAAAAAATTCTTGTCAAATATTACGAACATACAAAGTATATTAAAGGTTTCTACATTTAGTCTTCCAGGTATATCAAAACAGACATTTTACTTTTGCTTATTACAGCTTGGACACCAGAGAGTTACCAAAGGCTGAAATGCCCCCACTGATAGCCCCCAGTAGAGTTTCCATGGGTTAGAGGACAGAAGAACTCAGGGCAATGTGATTTGACCATTAAAAATCGCGAGACTTTTTCTTTAGTGGGATTTTCTCCTGCATAGCTCAGGACACCACTTGGCGACACTTGGAGAGCCAAGCACGGGCTTTATTTAACTGTGTTACTGGACAGCAAATGGTGGGTGGCCTCTCTGCCCAAGGTAAACATTCAGAGGACCCGGAAGCAAAACTTCACAGGGCTTGGTATGTCTTAGTTGTTCTCCAGCGATCCTGAAGTTGGCTGTAAGGAAGGAAAAGAGAAAGCCGTGGAAGAATTTTTGCACAAGGCATGAGGGCTTGTGCTAAGTAAGTGGTTCTCAACATGTGGGTTTCGATTCCCCAAAGACCGTCAGGAAACATAGATATTTACATTATAATTCATAACTAGTAAAATTACAGTTATGAAGTAGCAACGAAAACAATTTTATGGTTAGGGATCACTACCACATGAGGAACCATATTAAAGGGTTGCAACATTAGGAAGGCTGAGAACCACTGTTCTAAGTGGTCTTGTTTCTCAAGCGTTATTTGAAAGCCTGTCCAGGACAATGGAGCCTCTGGCTTTCTTTTTGTGGTAAGAATGTCTTTTAAAGTGGAAGACAAAGGCAACATGGGGCAATACATTACTCAAGGATTATGGCAGCTCGTTTCCATGTACTATTTCTTGACAAGTTTCCATGTACTTCATTCATGATTAAATGAAGACCATCCCAATTTATTTTAGCAATGACAGAAAACTGCCTGACCAATATTGGTTGCCTTATGGGGGGGGAATGCTTGTCCTTCAAGGATGTCTTAGCATATAGCATATCTCAATATATTTGTGGTCTAAAGAGCATTACGTCTCAATGAACTAGCTAGCACATGTGATAGTCAAAACACAGCTTCAGAACAGTCTCCTTAAATGCAATTTATTGATGTCCCAGTAAATTAGAGCTGTAAACACTAGGCCATATAGTGGGAAATAGGCCAAATAAAGACTTCAGTCTTATTTCCCAGCTGGAGATAACATTTTCTTTAGGAATGAGCATGCATATCAAAGTTTCAAAGAAACAAATGTTTGCATTTAATTTAATTAAAAAAATAAACTGTCTCCAACATATAAGACATAATAAGGACAGAATGGACTTTGACCCTGAGATCTCATTCAAGAATATCTAAATTTGTGATATTTAAATAATGCATATTATTTTTAAAATAATGTGCATGTATGTGTAGGTATATGCCTGTGAGTATAGGTGTCTAAGTTGGCCAGAGGCATTGGATCTCCCTGGAGCTGGAGTTAAAGGCAATTGTAAGCTGTTGAACATCAGTCCTGGGACCCAAATGCAAGTTGTCTGTAAGAACCATGAGTTCTTGTGCCATCTCTCCAGCACATTAAATAAACTTAGAACAATAAAAGCCTACATGAAACACACTACTGCCAACCTCTAAGTCATGTATTTTTTAAAAAGATTTATTTTATGTGTATGAGTGTTTTGCCTACATGTATGTATATGCACAATGTGCATGCCTGCCCATAGAGGTCATAAGAGGACCCAGTGCAGAGGCAGGCGGATCTCTGTGAGTTCAAGGCCAGCCTGTTCTACAGAGCTAGTTCTAGGACACGCTCCAAAAGCTACACAGAGAAACCCTGTCTTGGAAAAAAAATAACAATAACAACAACAACAAAGAAGACACTGGCATCAGATCCTCTAGAGATGGAGTTAAGAATGATGTGGAACCCATGTGTGTCCTGGGAACTGAACCTGGGTTCTCTGCAAGAGCAACAAGTGCTTTTAAGATCTGCACCATCTCTCCAGCCCCTTCTAAGTCATTTGAACCCAGGAAACTGTACTTACAAATGGAGTCCTGATTCCAAATTTGCTGTGGAATGTCATAGTGACTTTGTTCTTGTGTCCTGTTCTTTGATCAAAGGCATGGCATGTATCGAATGGTGGACTGTACAAGTGAAGGCTCACAGCAGGCTCTGTGTGGCTGACATTCTCTACTCGATGTAATCCAATGGAATCTGAACAGACAAAAGAGGACAGAAAACAATCAAGGAAACAAGATGGCAGCTGAAGGCAAAAAGTTTCCTAATCACCCACAAACTTTCATTGACACTGATGAGTGTGGGGTGAATAGCCATTTGAATTAATTTGCTTGTTGTGGTTAGTAAGGGCCATGCAGGCATCCTTACTGCAAATTGCCTCACATTAAACTGAAAGACTAAAACAAGATACAATATAGCAAAAAAGAAATCATTCATTAGAATGTGAAAGCTTAAAAGGTAGTTTCATTTAAAACAAAACAAAACAAAAACAAAAATCCTAAACTACTCAGGGGAAAACCCAAGAGAGAAACTGTATTTTGAAACCCCCAAAGAGCTCAGGAATTGACAGTACCAGGAACTTTCTGGAAACAAGTGAAGACTGGCCTAAACACACTGACTGCTTGAAAGGTTGTTTAGGAAGTAAGGTCTTAAACCCTTTTACCATTCCCCTCCCCTCCATGCTGTCAACCTCAGTAGAATACAGAGATTTTCTGTTTAGAAAGAGTACCATGGCTGAACTCAAGACTGGTGGGTACCAGGTTATAAGCAAATGAATGAAGCAACAGGTCAGGTGTGAACAGCAAGACTCTGGCTTTTCTCACCAGCCAGCCACACCCAGGACTCCATCTCTGTGGAGCTGGAAAGGAGTCTCACCAGCTTCAGAGAAAAGCCCTCCCCACCCCATCCTGCCACCGGCACCTCCTCCACTAAAGGGCTCTGCCTGACCCTCAGAGGGCAGTCCTGTCAACAAGCCCTGTCCTGTGTTTAGAGCCATCGGGGAACTTTTTTGTCCCTGGATTTTACACATGAGTACACAACTGAATTAGCCTCTAGTGCAGAAGACAGAGGGCAGCCTGAGCAGCCTGGAAAAGCAAGTTGAAACAGGACACTTGAGAAGATCTGGGAAAGTCTGTTTTTAGCATCCTCCCTGGGACGAAATACCCAAAGCTCTCATGCAGCCCATGGTTACCTTGACCTTCTGAATCCACCTTTCCCACCTCCCAAGTTCAGGGCTGCATTACGTGGGGCTAGGGATTGAACCCGGGACTTTGTGCATGCATGCTGGGCAAACACTCTAAGCTGAGCTACACCTGCAGCCTCAAAAAGGTTTCTCAAAACAAAAAGAGAGCTGGATGTGGTGGTGCATGCCTGTAGGAATGCTGGAGAGGCAGAGGCAGGAGGATCGCCGAATAAAACAAAACCCGAACAGCAGGGCTGGCAGAAAAAGTTGAGGAGGATTCAGAGACTCAAAGGACAATGATTAAAATAATAGGAAAGGAAAAAATTATCAAAGGACATGTTCAGGGAGCTTAAGATCCACACAAGAGGCCTTTTGATACACAACTCACAGGAACAGTGTGAGGATATTTCTTGGCTTGATGGGCACAAGTGTTCAAACTGAAAGTAACAAAGCACCTGGCAGAATGATGAGTCCTTAGGTGACTTTATTTGAAACAACATGGGGCAGAATGAAGGCACCACATGAGAAGAGTCCAAACATTTCCAAAAGATCTCTCAGAGAAAGAGTTAAGAGTCACAATGACCATGGACTCTGAATAGGAACAGGAACAGAGTGTACTAAAAGACAAAGATACAGCCTTCTGAGGGACAGTGACTGACAGGTCACAATCCAAATCCAGATCATCAATCCACCAAGTTATAAGATCTGAACACAGGGTTTTGTTTTTCAGATATTAGGTAGTCTCAAAAATTGGGCATTCATGACTGCTTTCATAAAGGGACATGGGAAAGTAGGCTCACACAAACAAGAGTGTGAACCAAGGAGCAACACAACATAAGCTCAGGAAATAAACTCCATCCAACACAGGAAAAAGCAAAGGGAAGGCTTGGGTGACATCAAGGGGACATATAGGTGGCCAGTGATCCCTGGCTTAGAGATAACCAACCTAGCCAGGGACAACTATGTCCAGGAAGATAAAAAACAAAACAAAACTATGTTCATGTTCTCTCTCTGTCTCTCTCCCTCTCATTGTTTTTTTTTTTTTTTTTTTTTTTTTCAAGATAGGATCTCACTATGTAACTCTGGCTGTCTTGGAACTCATTACATAGACCAGGCTGGCCTCTATCTCCTTAGTGTTGGGATTAGAGGTGTGTGCCATCATGCCTGGCCCAATATTCTCTTCAGAATGTCTGTCTCCAACGTGGATACTGGACTCACTATGTAGCCCAGGTTTGCTTCAAACTTCCAAAAAAAAAAAAAAAAAAAATCCTCCTGCCTCAGCCTTTTGAGAGCTGAAGCTACATGACATGCCAACAATTCTCATTAATAAAACCAAAATGATCTAGTACCTGCCTATGCACAATTTCGAATGGGTGTTCGGTGTTAACTGAATGCTCTGCATACAAATAATGTTTTGCTTTTCTTACTGCAGATGCTCACACCAACAGGCTCACAACAGACAATCTTGAAGTCAAAGGCCATGAGATCAAATCACCCATCCTTTAGAAGAGCCCAAGGTCCATTCGTGAGCCTCGATGTTCATAGTCTTGGCATTTTCATCTTTGCCTCTTTCTCTCCTTTGTGTCTGGTACACCCTCTTGTTACAGTCATACTAGACTTTTCTTCCTTCCTTTCTTTCTTTCTTTCTTTCTTTCTTTCTTTCTTTCTTTCTTCCTTCCTTCCTTCCTTCCTTCCTTCCTTCTTTTCTTTCTTTTTTTAAATCAAGGTCCTGTTGACCTTTGCCCAGTTGAAACAGGCTGCTGAGTCTGTTCCGGCTTCCGTCTTACCTCCATCTTATATTGTATGTGGATACTAAATGGGTAAAGACATTCCCAATTACAGCTCTGTTGATGGGCAAAGGCTCATCTTTCTATTGCCCCTGGAGGCTGGTGTCTTGATCTTTATAGTCTCCTGATATCTCCTGTCCAACCCTTTCTGCCTTTCCATTTGCCCCCATTCCTCAAGTTTCCATGCAAGGACCCTTCTCTGGACGGGTCTACCCCTAATCTGTAAAAATCAGAGGTTGGAAAGCTTTTAATATATTTCAGCAATTAGTCTATACATTTTTTTTTTCAGTTTAGCTCACCCCACTGATTGGCAAAAATTAACATCAAAGACCAGAATTTAACACTTCTATGGAAAAAGAGTCAGGACTCTCTCATTGGGGTTGGTGATCACTGCTGTTCTTTCAGTATTCATCAAGTCCTTACCGAAACCTTTTCTACCGAGTCTGCATCCTTCACGGCCGGATTGGCTACTCCAGGCTTCTGCACTGGAGACCCCTGACAAAGCTCTTTTCCAGATGGAATGGACAGTCTCCAAGACTGATTCCAGCTGAAAGTAATTACCCTAAGAGGCTTTTAGCTTTCCTGCGCTGTGGTATCAGTAACAAGTCTGTTGTTATAAAGCTGGTGCGCCTTCTATATTAGCAACTCTCAAACGTCTGAGAAAACAAATTAAAATATCTGCAGAGGAGACCCACAAACTAGTGGAATGGGAATACAAGAGAAAACATTTCACATACAATCTGATCTTCATAAGTGATTTGCATTCCTAAACTAATAATCTAATAAATTTAATCCAAGTAGCAAGGCCAATCCTAGACTCTAAGATATATGAAGGAAATACTGCATTTGCCAGGGAAAAATTGTAATATTTTATTTTATATAAGCAGGACAGCATCCTGATTAAAAGCATATGTTTGGACTCAAACTCGTGGATTCAAATGCCAGCTAAATATTTAAAAACCGAGGGACTCCAGACACATTATTTAATCTTCATATGTACTGGCAATCTCATGTATAAATGAGAATAAAAATTATGAATCTCATATATTTTAATGACCTTCTGGAAAGTTGTGATCCCTTTTAGAAATTGAAGTAAATTCACTGCCTCTCCTGGGGAGCATTTGGCTATTCTAGAAGACATGAGGGAAAGAACAAATTCTTGGTAAGATATCTGTAAGTCATTGCCCAACAATATACATTGCAAAATTTCCCTTGAGAAAAGTCTTTTAGGTATGTTGTATGCAATTTAGAAAAATAGGCACTGGCTAATGTTCTTAATCACTTCCAGAACATGTTCTTGCATTTTCTATTACAAACACACTATACATTTCCCAAGTAGACACACCTCTTCTGTGTGAATTCATATTCCACCCACTCTGTTCTAAGTTTTGACAGTAAACAACTTTCCAATGAATGACAATCTTCATGCACATGTTTTGAATGAATGGATCTAATCCTGCTTTAAAGTCATAGAAACCCATTGTGTTTAGGCCATATTGCAACTATTTTCCATCAACAACATAGAAAAGAGTTCAGCTTTCCCTCCGTGCTCATAGACAAAGAATAGGTTGTTACCATTAATGTAGGCACACTGGTTTTCCCTCAAGGTCCTTTCTGACTTCTTGATCATCTCATTTGATTTTTTGTCAGGCCAGGCAAACAATGTCTCCTTTAGGTTTCCTTGCAGCATCTTCAAAAAGCAGTGGGAATCCGTGTGATCGTGAATACTGCTATAGGTGCACAAAAGGACAAACAACTCAGGACTTGGTCTAGTACCCCACTGATTGAGTGGAAACAGATACACTGTTAAGAAGCTCACAGGACCCAGTTCCTTCAGTTGCTGTATTTTACAGCTATCAATCTACAATTCAGCATCATTGCTTTGGGCACAGTAACAACACATGATCAGCATCAAGGCATGTAATTTACAGTTTAGATATAAGCTCCCACTGAAGAGTGCCTTACAGCTTTTAAAATGTTAAAACTATTATCTAGTAACAAAACACAAACCCAGAAACCTTTCCTTTTATGTTTTTCTCCCATACAGTGTTCTGGTTTTTTTTTTTTTTCTTTTGCTTATAGTTGTCTTTGAGACAGGCCTCATTATGCAGTTGGGACTGGGTTAGAATTCATGATCTTCCTGCTTCGGAAGGGAGGATCACAGGTTTGCTGGGATTACAGGTGTGACACAATGTCTGGAAAATGCAGCATTTAATAATTCACTTCAACTGTGTTAAAAATGATAAGGAATGAATATTAGAAGTGGAAGAGTGCTTGCATAGTATGTGAGGTCCTGGATTTTATCTCTGGCATCACACGCATGCACGCGCGCGCACACACACACACACACACACACAGGAACACAGGAGGAGGGGTTCATTAAAGAAATGTTAAAAGAATGAAGATACTCATCTATAATAATTGCACCACACTGGAATCACTTAATTCAGATGGTAACAAAGCTGACCAATATACAAACTAAAGAAAACAAATTTTAAAGTATTGGTGTTAGTTTAAATTGCCTTCCTGGGGCATCCCCAATTGTTGTGGAAAATTATTTTAAGGTGTGTTACAATGTTTGTGCTGTAAACATTTGTTTAATGATGCAAAAAGTAAAATAAATAATTGCCTTCCTGGTAAAGAAGTTGAACAATTAACTAGAGGTAGACAGAATTTTTCTGATTTTGTGACATGTTTTTCTAGCTCCAAATCTTACCAGTTTGGTCTTTGGTCCCACAGTTGTTGACACATCTCACATACCACAAAGGTCAAAGGTCAGGGTTAAGCACAGTTCCAAAAACGGTTTAACTCCATAAGAGACAGAGACTTTGAATTAAGGTGACTCTTTGCCTCCCCTGAATTACTACTCGTTTGGGGTGGAGGCCTTGTTTTTATTTTCATTATTTTACATCTTCTTATTTAGTGTGTATGTGTGTGTGTGTGTGTGTGTGTGTGTGTGTGTACACAACTTGTATGAGTTGGTTTTTCTCTGTGGATTCCAGTAATTGGAGAGAATCATTGAGCTTGGTGGCAATCACATTTACCCACTGAGCCATCTTGCTGGCTGTGGCGGGGAGTGATGGGGATGATTTATTTTAATGTATACAGTGCACCCCTGACTCCCATCCCCGGTGATAATTCCATGAGGAGATTAGTGGACAACGTAAATAAATAATTCTAAAATGTGAATTGCTAGTCTTCATGAAGTCGGTGACTAGCCTGGCACTACTTTCTGTTCACATGCTGGGCCAGACACTGTAAGACATATGTTGAATGGGGCTGGGATGTAGTTCAATGTTAGAGGGTAGAGTGTTTGCAGTGTGTATGAGATTTGATTCCTAGCTTTGCAAAGCATAGATTATTTTTCAAATATGTATTTTGAGATAGAGTCTCACTATATAGCCCTGGCTGTCCTAGAATTCACGGTGTATACCATAACTTAATACTAAATGAATCTTGAGATTACTAAATGCCTCTTTAAAAACACATTATAAAAGCAGTTAACAGTCTAAGAAGCTGGCAGAAATGTGCAAAATAGAAAACATTGTGTATCTAATCTCAACTTCATCAATGAAGTACCACAAACACATATTCACAATAGTGTAGGCCACACCCCAAAATGTTACTTCAGAGTACTGACACATGGCTTTTTGTAACTATCTGGAACTCACAGAAAGCCATCTGCTTCGGGCTCTTATGGGGTGATTAAAGGTGTGTGCCACCATGCCCAGGCAAGCCATAGATTTATCAAAGAAGAGCAAGAAGGAACCTCGGAGGGTGGGAGGAGTCCCGAGGGAGGAGCACTCAAAGGAATACTGCAGTGAGTGAGTTGCTGTATTACCTGCCGTGTCCTTCACCCCAGCATAGAATCATCAGATTAAACTTTCCATTTCCTTGATCCACAAGATTTCGAGTATACCTAAAAAGACAGATATATGCCAGTCTGAATCTGACTGCTGAGAAGAGAACTAGAAAAAGTAAGCATAACGAACGAAGTGTAAGTTACTCTTACTATTATTATCATTTTAAACAAGGGTCTCACTTAGCCCAGGCTGCACTCTACCTCCCAAGTGCTAGGAATCCCAGCCTTACTTTTTTTTTTTTCTGTTTAATAATCTGTCATTCAAATGTAAAGGCTCAGTAGGAGCCATTTGTAGGGCTTAGGGTTTGTTCTTTTAAAAACAAAACAAGAATAAGGGATATGTAAAATCAAAGCAAAATAAAAACAGTAACAAGGAAACCCAAAACTAAACCAAACAAATTTTCAGTTTTTCAAAAACTGTCAAGGAGAGGATAGAGCATGGAACCATACAGGCTCATTTTAGCAAACCCTCTTTCTCTCAGTACCAATTGGTCACACCCATTTAATGTTAATGTGTATTCCTGAATTAAATCTATAGTTCAGTTTTGTTCACACAGACATCTAAAAATAATAAGCACAACTTGCTTCCTTTAGCCTCAACAAAGTGTGGTCCACTTCAATGTGCATTTTTTGCTTTTGTTTAAAACAAAGGAGGCATTATTTAAAGAAAGCAGTACTTAGCCTCCAGACACATTTCCCAGAAGTGGCAGATGCCACTCAAAGGTCTAGCTGTTGGCAGGCTTTCACTGTGGACCATCTAACCTACTGTGCATAGGAGTCCTCAAATTCTACCTCAATAAAACTTGAACATGGGTTTTGAAATCAGAACCCAGAACAAATGAAAACTGTTTTCTCATAGCTGACCTTTGTCTTTTCTGATATATATATATATATATTTCTTTCTTTCTTTCTTTCTTTTTTTTTTTTTTTTTTTTTTTTTTGTTCAGGAAGAGTGAAAAGACCTTTCTGTATTTTGATTTGCTGACTTTCCTGCGGTAGCTGTTCAGTTTTGACTACCGGTATGAACAGATAACAGGGGAAAAATAATCCAAATTTTATGTTTCTCCATTCTTATCAGTCTCAAACTAATAAAAAGTAGCTTTCTGAAGGCATTCAGAAAGTTCATTACAACTCCAGAAAAGAATGTTGCTATTGTTTTGGGCTTTTCCCCCTTATAGTAGGCTTTGAGGACCAAAGTTTCATTAAAGGACTGTTCTAGAATTCTGCCCAGTTTTACTAGTAAAGCCCTGATACAATCACATTCAAAAGCACTCATAAGGAAAAGTTATGCACAAATAAGCTGAGGGTTCAAATAAATTCCAGAACAAAGGCTACATTAGGTCAGAATAGTACTGCCTATTATAATTGGCAAGAAAAAAAAAAATCCAAACCAAAACAACTCTCCTAAGGACACTCTTACTCTTAAGTTGTAATTTGGTCCAAACGATCCTGTTGCCAGTCTAGCCAGCAGCGTCTGAGGGTTGTGACATTCGTTGTTAATTTCTGACTGCCGTCTCTACCAGTAAGGAAGGCTTGTGTACATTCGTCTTGGTATTGTTTGTCCACTGTCATCTGTTAACTCATGCTCACCATGCAGCTTCGCTCTTGTCCTGTCCTTCATAACATGCCTCAGGCTCAGGGCCAGTGTTTGCAGGACATGGGTCTCTGGAGAGTTACTAAGTACTACTATTTTCTTTTTAGTTGTTAGTCTCCCTTATACTTGAGTTCCTTATGACCTAGGAAGGGGCTGTACATACAGTCTCTGAATCACAGTAAACAGGGTTCCTGTATTAACACCCCACTTCTTCAGAGAACTCACTGTCTGGATAATGGAACACACAGTCTTGTTCCAACCCTCAGATCACACACAGGTTGGAACCCTTCTGGGTACCAAGAACAATACTATAGAATTCATGTCTATCTTCCTCTCTTATTCTCCCTATAGTCCACCCTTATCCCAGCCATCACCTTTATCTTAACGTGCTGAGCCTTGGATGAGGGGAGAAGTCCCTGGCAATGCCATTGTCTAGAGAGCAGAGCTATTGCAACACACCTGGTTAATTTCACTTGGACAATGCTATATCTCCAGATGTGCTATTGTAACAGAAAAATTTGTCACAGGTCTAGAGCAAGTTGCATGGTGGTTTACAGCCCAGCTTCTTAAATTGGGCATTACACAGAGGAATGTGGGGCCATAGAAAATTGGAACAGTATACAATTTTTGATTGCACAGCCCCCAAAATTAATTCCAAATAAATTGTAATGTGTAATAAATTGGTAACCAGCAGCACTCACCTGTGTCATCACATGACTGTAACAATTAGTCTTTAAAATGTATTACTATTGTGTGTATCGTGTGTGGGCATGTGTGTGTGTGTGCCATCGTGCTGGTGTGAAGGTGAGGGGGCATCTTTATGGAAATTTTATGGATCCTAGGTTGTGAACTCACAGTGCAGCTGAGGTTTGCCTACCTCCACCTCCCACAGGTAAGCATCATGTCCAGCCTCACTTTTCTTCATGTTTAATAATCTTTCATTCAAATGTAAAATCAAAATAACAAATATTCAACCAAGATTTCTTTATGTAAAAATAAACAAGTAATCCACCTCATTAGTATCCATAGTTGCTTTAATCTTTAATAAATGGTAACATTATATGTATTTCAATTTTTAAAAAAATATGGTTGATTTCCACTGGAGGTGGCCTTCTTCATTGTAGGCTCCTAAAGAGACCTTGTGTAGAGTACCCAACTCCTTTCCTGCTGGTCTTTGCTTGTCAAATAGAGATAAATACAGCTTTGTCTCCCACTGTGTGAAGTGACTGGAGGAGCACTTGGCCCACAAACTGGCAATTATCTGCTAGCATTTAAGTAGACATATCAGTGTTCCCTTGCAGGACCCAGCTCAGAACTGAGTGACCAGATTCAAAGGAGATTGCCTAACACCAGTTCCCAAACACAAAATGCCATCCTACTTGTCCTTACTTTTTACTACTTCAGGTTCCAAAGTACAGTTGAAAGGGTCCTTGCTGACAGAACTTTATTATACATGTTACATGTTAAGGAGAGACAACTTCTGAGGTAAAGTCCCCTTCTCTGCCATCCTTTCCTCTCACTAGTCAGTCTATCAAGCACAAACACCCAAGAAGTTTGCTCTTCCTTCTACACAGAAGCCTCAAGAGTTTACTCTGGCCCCTGAGGGCTGAGGATCGCTCAGACTTAATCCCTAAATCAAAGCTTCCAAAGGTCCCAGCCTACCAGACACCTCACTTAAGTGGATCCGGAAAGTAGCGGGTCTTTATTTAGTTTTCCCTTCTAGACTCTGGGAAACAAGGTCCAGAGAAGACCAAAGGCTTGGGGGACTGCAAAAGCACCGCTGTGCCCAATTTACAAAAGCTGACAGTGGGTGATCCAACCCTCAGTGGGGGTGAGTGGTTTGGAAGAACTGTATGGTAACAGTTCGAAAAATCAGCGTGCTGTTTTACAGGAAAGTGTTCCAGGCTTGGGGACTGAGGGCTGACTTGGGATTGTGTCTCCCACCACCACCCCTTTCTTGATGGCTGGCAGGGTGATCTGGAGCGCCCTCCGACCGTCTGTAGTCAGTCCCAGGCGGCCACCCGGTGGGAGCTTCAGTATGCCAGGCGGTGGAGGGGTCCCGAAGTGCTGTGCCAGAGACGGCTGCAGAGGTGGGGTGGGGTGTCGCTGTGTTGGAGGCTGGGGTGGGGGTGGCGGGGTTTTGCGGGAGACGAGAGTAGAAAACCTGAGAGTAGTGCGGGCGGGCGGCCTCCCTTCCTACTGGGAGGACCTAGCTTTGCAGAAGCCCAGGCATGCTCACCTGTACTGGTCGAATTTGGCGTACAAAGCCCACTCGGCGGGATTGCTCTCGTAGGCTTCCAGAACAGCCTGCACCTCCTCCACATTGACCTCGTCGCCCGCGAAGAGCTCATGCAGGATGCGGATGAGGTCGGCCAGGGTCCTCGGCTTCAACAGCTCGGTCCGTTCCATCCCCACAGGGTTGCGGTGCGCCCCTCCAGGCCGGCTGCGAGGACCCCGGCTGCAGCTGGACACCCGACACGCCCAGGACCCGGACGCCCGGACCCACAGCACTACAGGCTTTCTCAAAGGTTTTGAGACTCAGGTCTGGGAGTCACCGGAGACCAGCCTAGTGCACCGCACCAGTCAATACCAAAGCTGCGGAATCCGCCCTCCCGGGCCCTTTTTAAGCTCTTGGAGTCATCCAGAACGTACCAACCGCCGTCAGGGGGTGGAGTGAGGCGGAGAGCCCGAGAAAGGGGCCAGAGATGGAGCGCGCCAGAGGGAAGGCCCTGGCACAAGACCTGGTTGCCTGTGTGCGCCAGCCCTTTGAGAATGCCCTTGCTCTACAGCAGTGGTAAGCTTTGGGCAATTTCTCCCCCGCTTTTAGCAGCGGATTTTGGCAGCCCATCCCATCCCTTTTCCTACACACCACCTGGACATGGTTTACAATGCATTTCTGTGCGTTTTAGGTGGAGGGGGTGGGGTGGGGGGGTAGTGAGGAAAGGGAACCCATCTTCCAAATGCAGCTAAGGTGCTTGGAAAGATAAATGAGGGGGACCCATGTGAATCCTAATAGTTCACATACATGTCCCAAGCAAGGTGATAATTAACCTTTGCTTTAGCATCATACCATAGTGCTGGCTGGCTGTAGACCAGGCTGGCCTTGAACTCAAATATCTGCCTGCCCGCCTCCAGAGTGCTAGGGTTTTCCCTCTTCTTTTAAAATCTAAATACATAGCATTATGGGTAAATTACCACAGATAATTCTTGAGTTTTTAGTAAGACCAGGTGTTTGGATCTTGAATAGTGCCTGGAGAAAGATGATAAGAGATGGTGAGAATAGGCCTTTTTGCTGGGGCTGGACTTTGTGTGTGTTGTGGTGTTTGTCACTGTGCAGTCATTTAAAAGGTTGTAATGGGTTAACTAGAATCCTTTGATTCTAGGCACAAACATAGACGAGTTCTACCTCCTAGGGCCTAGAATACTTTGGGAACAGCAGGGGTCACACACATGAAAAAGGAACAGGCATGCCCTCAGAGACACACCTAAAAAATATACATTCCTTCTTTCCATTATAATGATTGGGATTATTAAGGTATAGACTTCTGCATCCCCACCCCTAATACTGTACACACGTTTACATGGGCTGCATCGTTTTGTTTTGGAATACTCCTGTTTAATGTTATCACATCACATATATGCCACTAAGGAAAACCATGGCTTTGGGAGACAGGCTAGGTACTATGGCTCCCATCTATAATCCTAGCATTTGGTGGGCTAAGGCCCAACTACTATTTGTGGACAGCCCAAACAAACAAGCAAAACAAGTAAGGAAAAGCTGAAAAAAAGCAAACAAAACACACACCAAACAGCTCTGTGGGGTTTTCTGGAAGGTGGTTACTAAGGCATCTGGAATCAAGTTAACCTGTAGTTTCATAGCTTACTTAAAACTTATTCTTGCTAGTAGGTCTTTAAGCTTTCCATTTTACTTAATATATAAGTCCACATTGATCTCTGCTTTTTACTCTCCATTTTCTTAGTTTCCTCTCATTTTCAAAGGTCTTTCCAAATGGTCACACATTCTCCTTTAAGTCCATTCATGACTTTATTGCACATTTACACGCTCCCGAATCCCCGATTTTATATGACCAGCACATCCTCTTAAAACCCACTGGCACCTCAAATGCAGTGTTTCACAAGATCCTCTGGAACATACTAGGTTCAAAGCCTGGAGGTTATTTCTGCATGGAGACAGGTGGGCTCAAACAAACCACTCAGCAGTGCCTACTACTTCCGTGAGTCATTCTTCAGCACCCTTTCTTTTTATGACAGTAGGTCTCACTATGTAGAGGAGGCCAGCCTTTAACTCCTAAATATCCATCTCCACCTTCCAAATGCTAGGATTAAATGTGTGTGTCCCCACACCAGGATTCAGAGCCCCTTACAAACCAATCCCAGTAGGAATAAGGATTAGGGGGAAAATCTTTCACTTATTTTTGTTACAAGAATCTTGCATGGGTGGCGAGATGGCTTAGCTAATACAGGTGCTCAAGTCAAGCCTGGAGACCTGAATTCGATCCTTGGAACCCAGAAAGACAGAATTAAGTGACTGTCCCCTCAGAGTTCTGACTTTCACATATGTGCTCTGGCAATCATAATAGAAGTTTAAACAAAACTCCAAATGTATCCTTTAGCTAAAGTGTATTAGTCATTTTCTTATTCTTACCATGTCTTCTTTGACTATTCTTTCTGCCTAAATCCTAGACCAGCAGTTCTCAACCTATGGGTCATAACACATATCAGATATTTACCCAATCTATAACTAGTAAAATTTCAGTTATGAAGTAGCAACAAAATTATTTTATGGTTGGGGGGGGTCACCAAATATAATCAACCATATTAAAGGGTTGCAGCACTAGGAAGGTTGAAAGCCACTGATAGATGACTTTGGCACTTCACTTTTGTTCTCTAAGTGAACTCTTTCGATTCTGAACTGGAGCAGTAAGCATCGCCTTCGTCATAGAGTTGGCACTTCTCAGCAGCTACTGTAGTTACAAGAATCAAACAGAATGTAAGAACTGGGATATGCTAGACCCACTTTTGAGGTATCAGTCTACGATGCCCAGGTTGGCTGGGAACTCAGTAGGCTTAAATCATCAGCTTCCCACTAGATGTGACTACATACATGGGCCACAATGACTGGCAACATTCCCATCTTCATCCATACCTAGCATGTTGTGCTTTGTGCATGTTGGGAAGCCTGCACCAAGATGCTAAGAAACCTGGACAAGTGGTTAGAACAATTCAATTGTTGGTTTTTCTTTAGAGATCCTGGACTTCTGTGCCTAAATTTAGTAAAGGTCCATAGAATGACTTCTAAGAGCTATACATTATAACTCATCTTGTGATAGTTACTGGCATAATTTTTATGTATATAAACAAAATCCAGGGAGTTTTACTGTACTGATTTGTTAAGGGCAATGATTACAACTTCATAAGATACTGCCTGCCATTGAGGCAGCACTTCAAAGGAGCTGCAAGTATTAGAGGTCTGGACATTTGTCTACCCGAATGCCAAACATTTAAAAATGCATGGGCCAAGCTTGTTCACAGTTCAAATCCCCCCATGTTTTAAGTCACAGAACTCATATGGATTAGTTTAAGGGGAGGGTCGAGACACAGCAATGCACATGAAGAGATGGACAGATATTGGCAGTAGACTTTACAGCAGAATAGATGTCCTTAAAAGCGATGAACCAGAGAGGTCAGGTGCATTTGTCTTGGAGACACTTCCAAGAGCAGGGAAACTAAATACAAAAATCCTTGGGATGGATACAATCTTAATGTTTGAATTCTGAGCACAGACTGGATGTGACTGCAGAGAAGGGAGGAGGGTTGCAGATCCAATGGGCTTGGCAGGGGAGAGGAGCCAGAAGAGGCAGCGGCTGGGCTCTATCACATTCTCAAGGGAAAGCTGTCAGGGTCTGCAGACAGATGACCTGGTTTGAAGTTGAGTAAGATGGGAAGAGACTAAAAGGCTGGCCTTGGAGAAAGAAGGAATGACAGATGCAGCACCGGGAAGTACATGGGAAGGCCAGGAATGCAGACTGGCTTGTTACAGGAGAGTTCTGTTAAAAAACCCCATTTCAAACTGGAGACTCCAAGTAACCAATATGAGGATTCACGTTCGTTTCCTACAACATGAGAGGAACTATAGGAATTAAATTCTAAGAATCTCCTCATGGCTTTTCATGTTTGATCTTTTACGCACTAAAGCTAGGAAAATAAGTAAAACCAGTGATATCCAATATTTTTGTTTTTCTACTTTCTATCATTTCTAAAACAAGAAAAAACAACAACAACAACAAAAAAAAACCCAATACCCCAAAAACTTTAAGACTTAAATTCAAGTAGGAAAACCTGCTTACTTCATTGCAGGTGTCATGGATCAAAGTTAACACTTCATTTCATTGAGAGTTTTTGGATACTGCCACCATAATTCCCTAGAAAATGAAAGCATGGACCCATATTTCATCCGCCAAAAACAGTATGACTTACTTCTCACAACCATGTCAAGATTTGCTTTTAATTACTGAAAGGTAATGATTAGCATCTGAAGTTGCATTTAAATTGTTTTTTAATCACTGAGGTCTTTCCACACTTATTAGCCATTTTTCACTTTTCAATACTTTGGGCTGCTAGAGATTAAGACTCTATCAGAGATCTAACCCAGGCCCTGCATTTTCTTTTTGCTGATTTGTGTTTACCTTACCCAAAATGAATCCATGTTAAGAGCATTAACCTCTCCATGTGTAGCAAGTGTTTTGTTACTTTCTGTGGTATGAAAACTACAGATTTTCTTCTTTGCTGCTTTTGAGATTAAATCACTCTTAATTCTGTCACTGAAAGGACACAGAAACCACACCCCTTCCATTCCATTTCCAGGCTCCATAAATATAGTGACAGGTGCATGTATGCCATGGTGGCATGCAGCTAAGAGCTGTCATAGTCGTGGCTTTCTTATGATGAGTCACTCACACAGACTTTAAGGAAGAGCTGAAATCCCAATTAGACCTTGAAGGAGTCGGGCTTGAAGAGTGAAAGTGTTAGTGAATCCCTGGAGGAACCCTAGGAAACAAAGAACAGGCAAACCAGGGAGTAACTAATCCAGGCTGCAAAATGCTATAGGGGAGTATTAATAAGACAACCATTCAATGGCCTGCAGCTGGCTTTCTCCCTGCCCAAAACTTACCCAGCATATTACAATACTTGAAAAATGCACATTACACATAAGCAAACTGGTTGACTACAGTTTATAGTCTGAGGCAGACCTTACAATTTTCAGTTTTATGATTAGAGAACACCGCAGTTAGAAAACCTTTAAGGTTAAAACTTCTAGAAATCAACCTTCAGGAAGATCCAATCTTATTTTGATTAGCAACAGATCACTCTCTAACTTACTTTATGTTCTAAATATTTAAAAATTCATTGTGAAATCCTTGGCATAAATAATTTAAGGAAAGGAGTGCAATTACGTTCACTATGTTTTTATATATGTATGTATGTATGTGTGTGTGTGTATAATTTCATGTGCTGTTGTACCTCTCTGCACAGGGAGATTTAGTGTGATATCACTATACTCATCATACACATGGAAAACTGAAAATATAACCTGAAGATTTATTTCCCTGTTCCTCCTAAATTTCAATTGCACTCGAGTACTTTATACTGCTCAGTTACTCCATCAGTGACAGGTGCTCAGCTTACAAGTATTATAATGTCAGTGCCAAAATTAATTAGGGTAAAAACAAACAGACAATGTAAAACAGTTTGATTAAGTATAAATCCCTACAGAATCCTCAAAGCTACTGGGAGAAGAAAATAAATAAGATAGACACATTTAACTTTTGATTTAATATGGTAATAAGTTATTTTGATAAATACAAATTCAAACTCAAGTATTTTTGATTTCATAGAGGTAAATAGCACCCTGTCACCAAGAACATCAGCAAACAGTAAGTTCTACATATTTCTCCTGTTAAATATCTACCATTGTATTCTTTAATAACCTCATAGTGAGCAAAGGTTGAACAGATCTTTTCCCCATCTGACTGACATTGCTCATACATCAGTGCTTCCTAGCTTCCAAATTCATGAGTCTACCCTGTGTCTCACTGTTTGTCTGTATCAGTCTTCTGGGAACTATTACCTGTGTTAACTCACTCCAGATGATGCTGAGAAAGGGGACACCCAGAACTCACACTCTTGGGCAGAAACAAGAAGCGAACTGTGTTGTGCTGTTCACAGCATCGTCCATGGCTCACATGGCTGAGTACTACTTAATGCACACTCTACATGAGCCAGCTGCAGACATAAGCCTGGCACGCAGAAGCCTGAAGCAAGTCAGCCTGTCTCAAAAACAACAAAGAAAGTGTAGTTCAAGTCGTAAAGGTTTTGGTTTTGTTTTTTGGGATAAAAATTACATGTCTATCATCACTTTTGAAAGTAAACTCTTGGAATTCTCACTTCAAATCCTGTAACCTGCTTAGATGTTTAATTATTGAAATGCTTTCTTCAGGGAAGGAGATGAAGGGTTAATTCACATTGGTCTTAAACTATTAGTCTTCTTGCCACAGCTTCCTGAATGCTAGAAAAGTGTGTACTACCACGCCTGGTCCTGGAAGAAATATCTTTAAGACATGTATGGAGCTAGGTGAGGTGGTCCATACCTTTAATCTCAGCACTCAGATCACTGAGAGTTCCAGGCTAGGCAACACCACATAGTGAGACCCGGGGATGGGGGGGATGTGGATGACAGATTGGGGGGGGGGGACACACACTACAAATATGGTACATAAGAAGTAAATCTCACTTCAAGCAATGACCAGTATAAAAACACCAGTGACAGTAACACTCTTTTTTTTTTGTCATGGCATAAAATACACATAAAATTGGAGGCTATTTTAAAAGCACTATCTTTGAATGCTTTCAATTTGGAAATCACATCATGAAGAACTCAATGAGTGCTGGAGAAGCAGCTTCACAGAGCCCTTGCCTGGAGTGTATAAGGCACTGACCTCCAGCAGAGCAAAACTACAAACTAAAAATACAGAGATTATAAATGTGGGTTGGGATGAATCTAAAGCTGATAATGTTGCTGGGTTTACTTATTAAGTCAGTTGCTTTCACCCAGATAACAGACAGTGAGAATACACTGGGTAGGGAGTCAAGAATCTATCCCAGGTAAATTCTTCTGCAGCCCAGTCTGGTTTTGAACTCCTGATCCTCCCCGTCCAAGCTTCCTGAGCTCTGAAATTACAAGTGTGGGTTACAATACCCAGGCTGTGGCTCAAGAATCATAAATGACAGGACTGAAAAGCATGGAGGACTCATTGACTCACAATCTGTGAAACTTTCCCAGCATGATTAATTTTAAACTATGCACATCCTCCAACTCTTCCAGTCTGTCAACATAGTTGCTTTTCTGATTACACATTAACTAGAAATTAGGTTCAACAGTCCTTCCTTCAATCACCTGGTAAAGATGTCAAGTGTCAAGCCTTTTTGCCACCTGGGCTGCCCTCTACTGGATAACTTAAGACACTGAGACAAGTCAGTGCACTTGGTTTCACAAAGCAACACAGATAAATGTAGTCAGTTCCTATGCAAACAGAGGTTCCCTGAATAAGTTAAAAAAGAAAAATACCTCAAAATACTAACTGTCCTGCAAATTAGTTTTTACCATGGAAACACAGTACCAACCCCACAAGTAAATAACATGTGGCATCCTGAGAATCCACAATAGATAAGAGTTCTAGTCTCCTTTCTAACCTTGAAGGCAGATCTGAAACAGGAATGTGTGGGGGGTAATGGGCACACTAATCTTTCATGATGATTTTATGGTCACACAAATCTCATTTTTAGTCCATTTACTCCATGATGCTTTCTTACACATAAGCACATAAGCACAGCTTATAGCAGATTCATGCTGAGTATTTGATAGCCATTAAGTCTCTCCACACAGCATCAAAACTTCTCTGAGCCTTTTCTTCTGTGAAAATATCAAGTTGTTCATCTATGGCTCATCCCCATGCCTGTGATTTGCAGTAATGTAGGACCAGTTTACCATCACTGCCAAAACACTACAAAAAGAAAATGACAACATATTAAACAGTAATCTTTTTAGATTAAGAAAGAGTTCTATATAACACACTACCTTTTCCAAAAGATGACTCTATCACACATACACATGTTTAACAAAACCAGTGTACCTTGAGTATGGGCTTAAATACTTTCACTGCCTTCAGGACATCTCTGATCATAAGGTATTTTCAGCTCTTTCCTGGCAGTGCTACTGTATCTATTAATGATTGTTGCCATGAAGCAGCCATGAAGCAGCATTGTTGAATGAATAAGGTCATTCTAATGCACTTTTATCCACGTTTTTGAAGTCAGGTCTCAGTTACAGACAGTAATGAACAATGCAGAAGTGACATAGATTAGACAAAATTTCTAGAGAAAGCAAATGATGACTTTTAAATAGAACTTATCCCTTGATTGTTTACACTTAACTTATTAAGACCCTACTATGTTAAAGGTGTTCATGATATGAGAATAAGGTTCTCTTCTCCCATCGATAGTTAAGAGTACGCTACCTCTTAAAGATGTAAACCAATAATCCACACATAATACACATGATACCCGTGGAGGGAGGTTACTCACCTCATATAGAGTTCCAACTTCTTGGTCTGGGGAAGGGGCAAAGGATTGGTTCACATAAATAAACTATGGGGAAGAAAAAAACAGATTCAAAATGGTATCCTTTCTGTAACTAAGACAGTTTTAAAATGTGGTGTGTGCATGTGTGTCTGTGCCAGAGGTCAAAATGGGTATCCTTGATGGCTCTCTTGCCTTATTTGTGTGAGTCTGAGCCCGGAGCTCATCAAAGGCTAGTCTGGCTGGTCAGTGAGATCCAGAGTCTGCCCATCTACCCTACAGGGCACTGGGGTTACATAAACCAGCACAAGGCCCTGAGACTATGGAGGTGCTGCGGTCTTCATCTTTGTGGGAGAAAGGCAGTTCCCTAGATAAATACATTTAAGCAGTTTTTCACAAATAGTTTTTGGAAGGATATTCAAACACTATATTAACAAAATACCTACTTGGCATAGTAGCTCCTGACTGTAATCCCAGAAGATGAGTTTAAGATTGCTCATTAGTTCAGGGCCAGCCTGGGCTATACAGCGAAGACTACTCCAAAAGAAGAAAAATATCCCACTGAGCCACAATATAAGATAAAATGTGAAATAAGATAAAATTATTTCACATATGCAGGTAAAAAAAAAAAAAAAAAACCAAACATTTGATACTGGGCATTTTTCCTTGGTTATGTTTCAAACAGTTTTCTCCTTTCTTTTGACCTTTACTATTTTTGAAAAATTTCAGGGGTACTGAGTTTCAAGCTGGACAATATTAGTGAATTACTTACAGGGGAAAAAAAAAAATCATTGTTCCAGACTTTAGTTTAATCTGTTTTAAATTAAAATATTTCTACTGATTAAAAAATTCCTAAAGATATTAAAATAGAGGTCATAGTGCCAGAGAGGCCTTTGATCAACTTCTTTTTTAGAAAACAGAAGAAAATTGGCAGGTAAAATTAACCTCAAAATCTAAGGTTAAATACTCTAGGTTTAACAATCTTCTCTCTCTCTCTCTTTTAAAGAAACAGTATGAGAACAGCTAGTCAACAGGTATTATTTATTGCAACAACAAATATTGGTTAAGTTTTTACAAACTGGAAAGCAGTTACAGTAAAAATAAACATGATTTTAAAGGCTTGGTATTAAGCACACTTCCTGCCAAACCGATGACCTGAGATAAATTCCAGAAACACGGTGGACCAAGAATCTACACCTAAGCATTGTTCTCTGACCTCTGCATGTACAATCTAACTCCCACCAGAGCTAAACATAATAAAAACATTACTGTATCAGAGAGCAAAGTGCTTGTAAATTTATTTCATTTCAGACCTCCTAAAGATAAGGTACAGAGACAAAAGCAATGTGTAGCTTTGTAAGTACATGTGTTACTCATGGTTGCCTTGGAACTATTGTGAATTTTTAATAGGCAAACAATCATTATTGTTTTCATACCAACTGCTCCGAGGCCACAAGTTTAAGGAACTTCTTGATGAAGTCAATGAGTCCTTGGATGGTTCGGGTTCGCTCTACAGCCCATTTCTTTGTTTTCATTATAGGGGTATCTCCTACAGCCTTTAGCAGGATGTCAACTTAAAAAAAAAAAAACAAAAAACTGTATTGAAACATCTGATGAGAACATGATGTGAAACAATTCAGAAAACAAACGTTTTATCTACATATTTTATGTAATTATTATCCTGGAGCTATGTCAGAGATATAAAATTAGACTCTTCTTCACTATTTTCTCCCTTGAGCCTATAAAGTTCTTCCTGTGGGATTAATCTCTAAGACATGTTTTGACACAACAGTATTCTAAAGATAAGAAATTGATCTAGTCCTGATATAAAATAATACCCAATGCCAAGAAAAAGACTCATGCATTTTCCCTACCAAACTGGTGGTAAAAACAGGTGGTAGTGCAGGTGATGCTGCTGTTGCCACAGTAACATGGCATAACTTTCTGGAGAGCAATATGGTAATACATATCTGACACTTGAAGATACACCTGACTCAATAATATGCTACTAAAATCTAACATAGCTTGAAATCTATAAAGATTCACTTAGAAGGATGCCACCTTTACCAAAGCATTTATTTTTACAGGAAAACAAACAGTAAATGTATATATTCAACACATACATGTAGATGCGATTAAAATATGAGATGTTTTATGGCAGAATTTATAGAGAAGGACACATATTCCAAGCTGAGTCCAAACTGTGGCTCTCTCTCTTGTACAGCTACAAGCACTGTCAACTTTAGTCTCAAGTCCCTGTGACAGCAGCTACCTCACAGGTTGATAGGAGGGTTGAGTCAGTTAATGTATGTTCACAACAGTACCCAGACCATAACTTACACTAACAGAACCTGAAGATAATTAAATAGTTGTTCGAAAACATAATAAAAGCAGTTATTAGTTTAAGAAGTTGGCAAAATGTGCAAAATAGGAAAACTATGCATATAACTCTGTAACTTCATTAACTATCAAACACACATTCACATTAGTATAGAGTATCTATCAAAATGTTACTTCATAGTAGTGACATAGGTTTTTGTAAATACTAAATTTTCTATAAAGAAAAAACTATTACTATTTAAAAAATACAACTAGGGGCCCAAAAGATGTTTCAAAGACAGCAGTAATGTGCCAGTGATTCAAAACAGATCTGCGAACCATGACCCGCGAACCATGACCGATCTAATGAGGGTCATTTCCCTTTAAGAGACACCTATGACCAAAGCCCCCCTGAAAGCAGAACTGTATGATTGCTATCACACTCTTGTCCCATTTGTTCTGGTATTTAAAGTTGGGATCAACTTATTCAAGTTTCCTTCTGGATACTTGGTGACACACGCTGTTCATCCTAGCACTTAGGAGACAGAGGCTGGTGGATCTCTGGGAGTTTAAGGCCTACAGAGCAGTTCCAGATCAAGTTTCCTCCTGAAATGACATACAGGTGCCTAGATCACATGATGTAGCTCATATCCTGGAAAAGAGCTATATAAGTGTCCTTTCAGTTATTTGGGGAATAAGTATGACTTAGGAAGGCAGAGAGGTGATTTTGGTTAGCCTATCTTTCATACCTTCCTCCCCAGTTCCCTCAACCCCCTGGAGCAATCAATAACTCGGCAGCAATTAGGCACTGAATTATACTATTGAAGAAAGAGGAGCCAGAGGGCAAGAAGCCAGAGACACAGTAATTATATAGTAATTACAGCTGTAGTCTTAGCTCCCAAAATGACTTGTACTCAGAACCCTGATTACACATTAGAATCAACTGGAGAACAGTTAATTTACACAGCAATTAAATTGAAATCTTTTTGCAAAGTAGGACCTTAGCAGTGGCATTCAAAAGCTTGGCCAGGGAAGCCTGTAATACTGTGCCACCAGGGTCAAAACCTGTCTGTTTCAGCAAACCTCCTTCTGCAAATTCAGTGGGAATGTGAAATATCTGATCATCATATTGTCTACAAAAGGATAAAAAAAGAAATTTAATTTGTCAAAAAATAATAAGAGATAGAAGAAAAAGAAAACTACGGAGATCCAAACACAGTCATCTCAGGCAACATCTTGGATTATGGGTCATTTTCTAGTTTGTTTTTCTTATTGCAGTCATCAGTGTGAAGAACTAAAATTTTGACTTAGACAGCTGATTTTTTTTTTTTTTGGTGTGTGTGTGTGTGTGTGTGTGTGTGTGTGTGTGTGTGTGCGCGCTGTGCTGGTCTTGAACTCACAGAGTTCTGCTTGCCTCAGGCTTCTGAGTGTGGGATTAAAAGAGTGATTCACCACTCTCAGCATGATGGCTTCCATCTGAAAGAAAACCTTTGAAAGTCAGCTTGATACAGCTAACTGTCCAACTACTCAGTACAGCATATATACATGGCAGATTTCCTCCAAACACAGAGTCAGTCTGTTTTCTTTCTTTCTTGATGAGCTGGGGATTGAACCCCTAGAGCTGCCACAGAGTTCTACTACTTATCTACACACACCTGCATCCCCCAGGAGCATCGCTGAGAGAAAATTCTCCTCCCATGCAGCACAAACAAGTCAGTGAGATAAGGAACAGAAAACACAACCTGTCTACATTTAATGTCTCTGAAAGGAGAACAATTAAGGACAAGGTCGGTATACCTTTCCCATTGGCATATATTTGCTGATTTTTCTTATAGTCAACTCTAACTTTACAGCGTTCAGGGAAAATTATCCTGAATCCCCTTACTTTCCCGTGGCAAACACATTCCTGACACACCAGAGGATGAGGACAGCTAAAGGAATTCAATGATGTACAAAGTCATGGCCCCCATCTCAAATAAAAAGTTACCCAAAAGGCAACACCAATACCTTTAGTTTTCCCTTGCCATTCTGCTAAAATTCCATTTTTCTTTTCTTTTCTTTCTTTGTTCTAAGTAACGAATTCATATCCAGTTGGAGGCGGGAGCCAATAGGGAACTCGTCAGAATTCGTGGTTTGTAACCCACATATTGCTCCTGTCACCTTCAATGTTTATTCCAGTAGTCTTGTGTTAAGTACCTGGAGCTACCGAGCTCACTTGGCTCCCACCTTCAAAGTGCTCGAAGCCTGACTGCCTTAAAGACCAGACGACGTAAAAGGTGCGAAGGATGGCGAACCCGGGTACCACCCGGATCACCTAGGCACCCAAAAGGCGTGAACACCTAAGTACTTCTGCTCCATTTTAAAAGGCGAAGTGTGCCTGTGGGACGCGCCCTTCTCTAGCTTTTGCTTCTTTACCGGCCGCCACTCTTAGAAACGCCAGTAAATCTGCCTCCGCCCACAAACGGATGTTGACATTACTTTTCTTCTTGGTGTCACCGGGAGGTTCGTCCGTTCCTGGCGAGACTGCAGCTGAAGACGGGGGCTCTGGGGTGGCTGTTTCAGGGGAGAGCTCCGAAAGGCTCTCGCCGCCGGCCGCGGCCGCTGAAGAAGGGAGCTGCAGCCCGGCCTCAGGGTCTTCCGCCATCTTGCTCGCTGGGCGGAAGTGACGTACCCGGAGCAGAGGGCGGGCCCTGCTCCACGGAGGGTCGCAAAGCAGGCACCGGGAGGGGGTGCTCGGGCTAGCAGTGGTCTGTGGGGTGTCTGGAGAGCAGCACACGTAGATGCTCTGTTGGGAACACAGTATTTCCGTAAAGCACCGAGTGTCATTAGGTCTCGGCGAGCTTCCGCGGTGCTTCCGTGATGAGCCTCCGCTCGCCACCAGATGAGCAAGTAACACCCCCGCCTCCCGCAAGTTGGTTCCGGCCCGGAGGCGCTTCCGTTTCCTTCCGGCCTGCCCCGCCCAGGTCCCGCCTCCAGGCCCCGCCCCACAGCGCGGGAGCGCGCGCGCGCGTGCGGGAGGGGGCGGGTGGGGAAGCCGTGGCTGCAAGCTCCCGGAGGCGAGGCTCGCGCGCCCGCCCCCGCCCTGGCCCCAGCGCCCACCCGGTCGGCCCGGCCCAGCCATGATCAAGGCCATCCTCATCTTCAACAACCACGGGAAGCCACGGCTCTCCAAGTTCTACCAGCCCTATGTGAGTATGCCCCTGCCGCGGACCCGGGAGAGGGCGAGCGCCGGCGCGGGGCAGCCAGCGCCCCGCGGCTTCCCCAGAACGACCCTCGCGACGCCGCGGCCCTCCCCGCGTCCGACCCTTCGCCCCGCCGCCTGTCAGCTCGGGCGCTGGGAGCCGCTTGCCACTCCCCGCCGGCCGCTCGCCGCCCGTGGGCGAGGCGGTTTGTCCGCCGCGAGGGGCGCTGCCCACCTGCCCGGCACCTCAGCCCCACGCGGCGGCCGAGCCGCTGTTTCCTGCCGGGCGCCGAGCCCCGGCTCCCGGTCCCACTCCCCAGCCTGGCCAGGTGGATTGCTTTCTGTCGCCCGGGGACAGATGGGCCACTGTGTCCGCCCTAATCCCCTGCGAGCTCAGCAACTTTGGCTCGCCGCACGCCCTGGCCACTGTGTCCAGTGTGTTTCCATATGGGAGCATCGGAAGCCCCGTGTGACTTCCAGGTGGCCGTTGGGGGGGAAGTTAAGTGGGGACCTGACGTGGCTGTTGGGCTTTTAACCTGCTGTCTTGAATTTACTCCGGAAATAACTGGCAGCGTGACACGTTGACCCATCAGAGAGGGACTCTGTATCTCAGAGTCAACGATTTCATTTTGGTGAGGCTTTTCCTATTTAAACCAAAACATAAGGGCATTTGCCCTGAGTTTTAGTTTCAACGAAGTAGCTTCTGTGAAAGTTCTCTTCTAGAACTGTGAACATTGTTTAACATTGCTAGGAGCAGATGACTTTAAAGTCGCGACGATAATTGATAAATCATCAAGGAGAGGGAATAGGTTCCTATGCCTCACCTGAGGGCAACACTCATCCTGGGTCATCCTCTGAGCTTTCTGTCATATGTAGGCTGAATGTGAGCTCTGCAGCTCTCGTGCTGTCTTGGCGTTTTGCTTATAGCCGGACATGGACTTTGAATTTAGTGTTGAAAATGTGCCAACACCAACACTTTATGCGGATGGCCCCAGATGGAAATTATTCCTGCCATTAAAAATGAGACGTGAAAATGTCACTTTGCCTAAAGTGATAATGCAGTCTGTGGAGGTGTCGGTTGACGTGAGAAACGAAGCTGCTTTGCTTTTCCTGATGATACAGAACACTTTGCTCTACTTTTGTGTGGCTTTTAGTGTAGTATAACTCAAACGCTAATAGTCTGTTTAAAAAGTAGATTATTCTTGAATCCAAAATAAAATTCCAGTTGTTCCTTCTGAGGAAAACAGTGCCATTAACTTGACATTACCCGATTGCCTAAAATGTTAACTAGCCCTTGTTGAGTCCGTTTGCTGTGTAGAAAAGCTATGTTCCGATAATGAAATCACATCGAAGAGGTTTTTTTTCCCTTCCCACATTTAAATTTAGTAATTGGTCTGACCTGGTAATGAAGGCCTGAAATTCCAGCTACCAGAAAGTTGAGACAGAAGCATGAAGGTCAAGACCTGGGCTATGAGTTCAAGGCTGCCTGTACAATTTAATGAGACCCTGTCTCAACATAAAAAGTGATAGTGTGTCTCATGTCCACAAGATCCTAGCTTCAGTCCCTACTGTTATAAAATTAATTATTAAACATTATAGGTCCCTTAGCTAATCCATAATTTCATGGTAATCACTATTATAGGTAGATTTAACCATATGAAATATGAATTTAACTTGGAAATCTAGAAATATGACTTCCTCTTGTCCAACAGTGGAGCAGAGCTGTCTTTTACCTTTAATTATTAGGTAGTAGTGAAGGTTAATTTGAGCAAAGTTGTGCGGCTGAAGCATGATTTTGGTCATTGTTTGAGAGACAGTGCTGCTGCAGACTTCAAGCTGGAAGGTATTTAAAAGGATGCTGCCTTTCTAAAGATGGTACACCTGATGTTTCTCCATGTCAGTAGTTAGAAATTGGATTTTCCAAACCATGTGCTAAATTGAGTTGTCTTTCAGAAATAATTGAAAATAATCTATTTCATTGCCTCTTCCACTAGACTAACTCTTGTGAGGGCAGATACTATGTTTTGTTAATTTATTCCATTGTCAGTTTGTTGTCAAATGTTTACTTCATGTCTGCCACATGTAGGCACTGTAAATGAACACACATCTACTTTCTTCCTTTCTGGGGGTGTAGACATGGCTAATAAATAGCCTATATGATATTACAGGTATTAATGGCTATAAATGATGTGGAAAAAATAAAGTATGGCAAAGTAGGGAGCGTGAGGATGATGATTTAAAATACTGCAGTCAGTTACATTGTCACCAAGAAGTAATGTTTAAGAAAGTATTGAATGTGGTAAGAAAATCAGCCTTGCAGAGATACACCTAGGGGAAAGGGCATTCCAGTCAGAGAGAAACAAGTGCACAGATGCAAAAGTTGCATGTCTAGAGAATGAACATCATTGCAAGTGAGACCGTCAGGGAAACATTGTTGGAAGTGGCATTGTATAGGTCATTCAACTGTAATCATTTTGCATTGCTTGAAATTCGTTTCTTTGTGACATGTCCCAAATCAAATTCTGGTTCTTTGCTTAGCCCAGACACCATGTACATATTTTCTAAAGGAATTTATGCTGCTGTTGCTCTTGTCTTTATTTTTTATGGTATGGTATTCTGTTTCACAGCCCATAAATCCTTGGGGCAGCCTATAGAAATTTTGTTGGAAGTTATAATATAAGCATATTTATGTTACCTCCAGCAGTCAACATTGAGTCTTTATGTCCTAAACTTTTTTAAAAAAAATTAGTTGTTGTTGTTGTTGTGTGTGTGTGTATGTGTGTATGTATGTATGTATGTATGTACATGTATATGCCTGTCTGTCTATATGTACCAGATATATACAGGTGTCTGCAGAGGTCAAGAGTGGGATCCCCTGGAACTGGATTTCAGTTGGTTGTGAGCTGCCTGAAGTAGGTGCTGGGAACCAAACTTTACCCCTCTGTAAGAGCAGTAAACACTCTTAACCAAACTCTCTCTCTAGTTCCTGTAGTAAACTCCTAATGAATTGGTGTTAAATGCATTGCTTTGGAATTTAGCTTTGGGATAAAATTTGGATTAAAATCGTTAAATTTTCTTCCAACTGTTAAAATTTAGTCCTATTTAGTTCTTCATTAAGCAGGGATTTTCAGAATCTGTCTTTAGCACAAAAGAAATGGTAGAATCATCCATTCTAGTGTAAAGTTGAAAGGAGTCTCTTAAATACTTATCAGGTCTGTCCAGAAGGCTTAGCTGGGAAGAAGGCATGTACTCCAAGCCTGATGACCTGAGTTCCATCCCCAGAACCTATGTAGTGGAAGGAAAGAACCTTCTTTCAAGTTGTCCTCTGGCCCTTTGGTGTCTCCCTCACACAAATAAATTAATAAAAATGTACTTCATTTAAAAAGAAGTATATATCCAGTAAAGTAAGTAAGATCAGTTTGCGTTAAATAAATTAAGCAATATTTAGGGATATTTCTAGGCCAACGGATCTATGCCCTGACAGGATGCTGAGGTTTAAATTCAGCATTTATGGTTAATACTAGCGGTTTGGAAATTGCTTTACTTTGATATATTTCCCTACTACTATGGGTCTTCAATCTTCATGTAGGCTTCCTTGGAATGTAACATTTACGTGGTCATCTCTACCCCTTTGTACTGTAGATTTTGTGCTACAGTAGCCTTGGTCATGCCTCTCGGTTGGTGTCATTTGTGAGACATGAAGTAACACACGTGTTTTGCTAGTCTTTGCTGAGTTAAAGTTTTGGCTCATTCTGCTAAAACAAGATACTAAGAATGGGTGGGCTGAGTACTTCCCCCTTTGTTTTGCCTGCTGTATCATTGCATAAGTTCAGAATTTGTGTGTGTGTGTGTGTGTGTGTGTGTGTGTGTGTGTGTGTGTATTCTCTCTCAAGTAATGAATGCTTAGCCATGGCAATTTGGAAACAGTAACTTTTAGTTTAATAGTTACCTAGAAATTATTTGTTTATTACTAACATTTAAATCAGATGCATTTTTAAATAGCTTTTAAACATGAAAGCAACAACAAAACCTCCTTGGGCTGTATGATTCTGTGCTATTGGTAAATCATAATATATTCTTTAGTGAGTCATGATAATAAAGTAGAAATATGAGCTGTTCTTATTTCCACAGATACTAAAGATTACCACACATTTCAAGTACAAGCAGAAACATTTCTAAACTGTAAAATGCATGAGTTACCCCAATATAGTTTTAAGTTGTATTTAAGTATTAGACTGTTTAACAACTAGAAGGGACTCTATTCTTTAAATCCTTAAAATAAGAACTTTAGAATGTGTAGTTTTTCTTTAAAACATCTTTAAGAAATTGTATCTATGCTTATTGGTTTCCTTTTTAGTGACAATATGGCAGCCTCTTGAAACTGGGCCTCAGTGCTTTTAACCACTGAGTCATCTCATCTTTCCAGCCACTCCATCTGATTTGTTTTCTTTCAGTGTCTGTTAGGATTCTTTGGGAAACCTAAACTGGGTCTTATGTGATTGATGCAAATGCTTTTGAACAATTTCTATAGGGTAACTCGTATAGAGTAGTAGACAGATTGTATCATAGATTCA